CCTGCATCTGCTCTTTCTTCTGAACCCTCCCTTGACAGTGATTCCATCATGTCCTCACTTAGTGGCCTGAGTTGCTTGCTGGTCCTGTTCTTCTTGTGGGTGCATGTGGACGTAGGTCAGAGCTTGCCCAGTGACACTGATGATAAGGAGGAGCTGCTGGCATCTTAATACTGCAGACCATAATAAAAGGAGGAGACAGGACCTCTTTGCTGGCCCTCTGGCCAATAGGCAAGGCTCCTGGCATCTAGATTAAATTCCAACCCTCGGTTTCTCCATTTCAGTGTAGTCTCCATGAGCTGAACCAAAGCTTTGCTGCTGCTGTACAGGTATTTCTTCTATAACACAGTAGTTGCATTCTTGTGTGATCTCGTGCTGTAGAACATTACGTTATAGGGAAATCGCTATACCTGCACAGCAGAAAGTTTGCGTTATGCTAACAGTGTCCACTATTCATCAATCACATTGCAGCCAATTCGTACGAGTTAACGAAACACTGTTATAGCAGAAATACCTGTATCCAAACTCCCAGCAAGGTCTGGTGCTTGCTGATTGACATTGACTACATCAGCAGCTAAAGTTTAAAATGCTCATCCTCTTTTGAAGTTTGTCCATGGCCTGGCTTCTCCCTATTTCTGCAGCCTCTCCCATCCTTAAAACCTTGTGGATTTCGGTGCTGTTCTAATTCTGGCTCCCCATGCAGTTCTGATTTAAATTTTTCCATCGCTGGTGGTCAGGTCGTTAGCTGCTTTTGACCCTTTAGGCTTGGAATTCCCTTCCTAAACCTGTTTGCTTTGCCACCTTCCTATCCTTTTTTTAAGAAGTTTCTTTGAGCTTACCACTTTATCTGAGCTATTGTTCCTTCACCTGAATATCTCCTCGTGTGGCTCAGTATTGGATATTTATTGATAATTATCCTGTAAAACTCCTTAGGATGTTTTTTCTAGATGAAAGGAGCTGTATAAATGCAAGTTGTTGTAAGTATATAACATCTGATTTGAAAGATCAGAGGGAATAAAGCTGGTAGAGGCATTTATGATTAGGGATTGGATTGGAAAAAGTGACTTCAGTGCTGTGAAAACTAAATCAATAACTTCTTGGCAAGAAAGATTAACTTCACTGTAGTACACTCGCTCACTCACTACTTGATAAGAATGAAAAGCTTTGTTCCATCACAACCTTTTGGCTGTTTGGCTTGATGATCGTGTTTGAGAAATACTGACGCAAACTAATGTTTGGAACACTGGTAAATTAGTGGGGAATCTTGAAGCGAGCTTGTTCTTGCTTGTCAGCACCAGTGATTTCAATGTTCCACACAGTCTTTATCTGCTCGCTGATGGAATGTTGTTAACATTCAGACAAAATTCTTACATGACAAATTGCCTTGCTATGTTCCATTAGAACCTTTTTACAAATGGCAATATGCAGCCCATTCCTGTATTCATGTATTTCCTTCTCTTCGACCAACTGACTAATATTTCAATTGTTGGTCTCGCAACCCTACATGTAAAACAGACATTTCTTCTGTCTGCTGTAAAGATTGAACAGGGATATTTCGGCATATTTCTGTACCAACCCCTTGTTCTAGACTCCGCCATCACTAGGATCGAAGCAATCTCCAAGACATTTTAAAACTGTTAGTAGTAGGATTACCAGAGAAAGAGTGGAACCTATTGGAGACCAAAGGGGCAACCTGTGTGTGGATCCTGAGGGCGTGGGTAGGATCATAAATGAATACTTCTGATCTGTATTCACAAATGATAAAGACGTTGTAGCCAGGGTTTTCAGTTGGGATGGTGAAGTTCTAGAACATGTTAAGATTAATCTTGAGGAGTTATTTGATGTTTTACTGGATGTAAAGTTATGTAAATGCCAGAGCTAGATGAGATGTAACACAGGCTGCTATGGGAGGCAAGGGAGGAGATTTCTGGGGCCCTGGTAGAGATATTTAACACTTTTTTTGCTGCTGACAGGTGAAGTGCCAGATGACTGAAGGATAGCTGATGTGGTTCCTTTGTTCAAGAAGGGAAGCAGGGTGCAGTGTGATATTGATCAGCTGGTAAATTGGGCAGAGAAGTTGCAGATGGAATTTAATCCTGATAAACATGAGGTGATGCATTTTGGGAGGTTCAACAATGGAAGGCTTTATGCAATGAATGGTAGATCCCTATGGAGTACTGAGGAACAAAGGGACCTTGGTGTACAAGTCCAGTGATCCCTGAAGGTGTCAGTGCAGGTAGACAAGTTGGTGAAGAAGGCCTATGATATGCTTGCTTTCATTAGCCAGGGTGTAGAATATAGGAGCGAGGATGTCTTTTTACAACTTCTTAAAGCAATGGTTAGGCCGCAAATGGAATATTACGTGCAGTTCTGGTCACGACACTCTTGGAATGAGAGATAGTAGGAACTGCAGATGCTGGAGAATCCGAGACAACAAGGTGCAGGGCTGGATGAACACAGCAGGCCAAGCAGCATCACAGGAGCAGGAAGGCTGACGTTTCGGGCCTAGACCCTTCATCAGAAATGAGGGAGGGGAAGGGGGTTCTGAAATAAATAGGGAGAGAGGGGGAGGTGGATAGAAGATGGATAGAGGAGAAGATAGGTGGAGAGGAAACAGACAGGTCAAAGAGGCAGGGATGGAGCCAGTAAAGGTGAGTGTAGGTGGGGAGGTAGGGAGGAGATAAGTCAGTCCAGGGAGGACGGACAGGTCAAGGGGGTGGGATGAAGTTAGTAGGTAGGAGATGGGGGTGCGGCTTGAGGTGGGAGGAGGGGATAGGTGGGAGGAAGAACAAGTCGGGGAGGTGGGGATGAGCTGGGCTGGTTTTGGGATGCGGTAGGGGGAGAGGGAGGGGAGATTTTGAAGCTTGTGAAATCCACATTGATACCATTGGGCTGCAGGTTTCCCAAGCGGAATATGCGTTGCTGTTCCTGCAACCTTCGGGTGGCATCGTTGTGGCACTGCAGGAGGCCCAGGATGGACATGTTGTCTGAGGAATGGGAGGGGGAGTTGAAATGGTTTGCGACTGGGAGGTTGCAGTTGTTTATTGCGAACCGAGCGTAGGTGTTCTGCAAAGCGGTCCCCAAACCTCCGCTTGGTTTCCCCGATGTAGAGGAGGCCACAACGGGTACAGCGGATGCAGTATACCACATTGGCAGATATGCAGGTGAACATCTGCTTGATGTGGAAAGTCTTCTTTGGGCCTGGGATGGGGATGAGGTAGGAGGTATGGGGGCAGGTGTAGCACTTCCTGCGGTTGCAGGGAAAAGTGCCGGGTGTGGTGGGGCTGGAGGGGAGTGTGGAGCGGACAAGGGAGTCACGGAGAGAGTGGACCCTCCGGAAAGCAGATAAGGGTGGGGAGGGAAAGATGTCTTTGGTGGTGGTGTCGGATTGCAGATGGCGGAAGTGTCGGAGGATGATGTGTTGGATCAAGCTTCAAAATCTCTCCTCCCCCTACCGCATCCCAAAACCAGCCCAGCTCGTCCCCGCCTCCCTAACCTGTTCTTCCTCCCACCTATCCCCTCCTCCCACCTCAAGCCGCACCCCCATCTCCTACCTACTAACCTCATCCCGCCCCCTTGACCTGTCCGTCCTCCCTGGACTGACCTATCCCGTCCCTAACTCCCCACCTACACTCCCCTTTACTGGCTCCATCCCCGCCTCTTCGATCTGTCTGTTTCCTGTCCACCTATCTTCTCCTCTATCCGCCTCCCCCTCTCTCCCTATTTATTTCAGAACCCCCTTCCCCTCCCCCTTTTCTGATGAAGGGTCTAGGCCCAAAATGTCAGCCTTTCTGCTCCTGTGATACTCTTGGAATTACGTGGTTGCACAGGAGAGGGTGAAGAGCAGATTCACCAGGATGTCATCTGGAATGAATTTCTCAGTTATGCGGAGATGGATAGACTCAGTTATGGACAGGCTGGGTTTGTTTTCCTTGGAGCAGAGGAGGCTGAAAGGGGAACTGATTGAGGCATTCAAAATTGAAAGAGACAGAGTAAATCGTGAGAATCTTTTCCCCATGGCAGATATGCCTAAAACCAAAGGACATAAGTTTAAGAAGAGGAGTAAGTGGTTTAGAGGAAATCTGAGAAAAACTTTGTTCAGCCAGAGTGTGGTAGAAATATGGAACGTGCTGCATGAGAGGGTGGTGGAGGTAGGTACTCTTACAACGTTTAAGAAGCATCTGGATGAGCACTTAACATGCCAGGGTATAGTAGGCTATGGATCAAGTGCAGGTAAATGGGATTAGTGTAGTTTGGTGTTTGTTAGTCAGCGTAGACATTGTGGGCCAAAGGGTCTGTGTTTGTGCTGTATCACACTAGAAAGAATCTCTTTCCATTTACTCCATCCCACCCCACCCCATCCCATCATAATTTTACAAACATCAATTAACTTGCACATTAATTTATTTTATGATGCAAGTAGCCACAATTATTTTTGGGGGCTTTCTTCGTATTTCTTATCAAGGTGCAACCCAGTGAATCTGAATGTGTATTGCCTTGGCCTCCTATATAGTATGTATACTTGCTCTGCCTTTGGGGTTCTTAATTTTGGAATTGATTTTATCAGTTGCTTTTTAAAAATATATATAAGATTGTAAACCTGCAACAGAGAACGTTTTGTTTTTTTTTTAATTAAAAATGTTCCTGTATCACAATGTTCATTTCTCTCTCTTCTCTTTTCTCTCTTTTGTCTTTCTTTCTTCTCTCTCTCTCTCTCTTTTGTCTTTCTTTCTTTCCTCTCTTTCTCTCTCTCTTTTCTCTCTTTTCTGTCTTCTTTTCTCTCTCTTTTCTGTCTTCTTTTCTCTCTCTTTTCTGTCTTCTCTTCTCTCTTCTTTCTCTCTTTCTTTCTCTCTCTCTTTCTCTCTCTCTCTCTTTCTTTCTTTCTCTCTCTCTCTCTCTCTCTCTCTCTCTCTCTCTCTCTCTCTCTCTCTCTCTCTCTCTCTCTCTCTCTCTCTCTCTCTCTCTTTTTCTTTCTTTCTTTCTTTCTTTCTCTCTCTCTGTAGGCTTTAAAAGAGGAGCAAAGCCAACTAGGTCTGCAAGAGGAAAGTCAAGAGAAGTCTTGTATCATGAACTAGAAAGTTAAATACTGACAAAAAATAAGGATTGCACGCTGATATATTGGAGGAAGTTGAAGATGGGGCGGAAAAAGATTCAGATTACAAGGATTATGGATGAACGTAACAGGCAGGTAAGAAAGTAATGTGAAACGTGGGTTTCATTACACTTTCAAACCATGTTGTCTCTGAGATTTATTTTGTCTGAGGGTTGGGCTTGGTGGTGTAATGATAATGGTCTGAGATAATAATCCAGACTAATGCTCAGGGGCCACAGGTTCAAATTCAAAGGTTAGCAGACACTGAAATATAAACACAATTCATAAAATCTGAAATTGAAAATATCGTCATTAAACATCCGTCTGGTTCACCACCATCTTTTAAGGACGGAAATCTGCCATTGTTTACACATGACTGCAGGTCCGTAGCAGTATTGTTGAGCCTCAACTGCCCTCTGAAATAGCCAAGCAAGTTATTTAGCTTCAAGGGCAATTAGGGGTAGACGTCAAATGCTGACCTAGCCAGTATTGCCCACATCTTATGGTAAAATTGCTTTGTTTTTTAATACTTTAATAATATAAACACAAGATACTGGAAATTCTGTGCACGTCAAGTGCAATTTTGCAATTTTATTACATTGGCTGGGTATCCAACTGATCTAAGACTTGAAATTAGATATGATTTCTACTATTAACATGTGACTAGGTAACGTTGCTCTAAACTCACTAATATTACCACTTGGAATTAGGATCAGGATTGTTAAATTGTACTATCTAATTATCCATATTGATGCATTCAATTCTGGATTGAGAATTGGCCTCAATTTCAAACAAGTTATTTAAGTATTCACCTGCAGTGAGCCATTTGTTTCTGTAATCCATTCTGTTCACCATACATGTGATTTTGAAAAAAAAAGTTGTTTGTAACTGATACACACATGTACATAAGGCTGTGTGTGTGTTAACACAAAGATGCCCTTGGGAGCTGTACACTGAGAGCCTGCAGTATAAACAAGGTTACTCCATTCTGTGCCAATATAAAATTGCATGCTAAGGAATGGAACATGGCATAAAAATGGTGTACAGCAGTATGTCATTATGTTTATTCCTCTGCTGCAACAAGGTTGGAATAAATTACAACTCTTTTACCACTTTTTTTTCTTTTCCTGTGCCTGCAATCTATTAGAAAATGCTCATGACCTTTTAAAATTCAGAAATGGAAATGTATTGCAACGATATTCTTGTCTAAGTAGATTTCCTTTTCATTGTTCTTTATTTCAGCAATGTCTGAAACATGTTGGGCATAATTTTTACCTAACCCAATGAACCAGTTCAAGTCAGTCTCTGACTTTAAACTATGCCAGATTTTACTCTCCACTGAAATTAGTGGAAACTGTAAACATGCAGCTGCCTGCTTCTTGCCCAATGGGCTGTGTTGAAACGATCCCAGTTATTTCTTTCCTTGTTAGATCTTTGTTGCCCCTGGTGTAATCACTGTCCTTCAGCTGGAAATGGCTCTCTCGTGCTTTAATTCAAAGGCCCTCGGTCCAGTCCCCATTTGCAGAATGGCACTTTGGTTTAATGCTGATTTAGATTTTTTATTCATTCATGGGATGTCAGCATCACTGACTATCCCAGCATTTATTGCCTCTTCTTAAGTGCCCACAGGGCGATTAAGAGTCGACCGCAGTGCTGTGGGTCTAGAGTCACATGTGGGCCCGACCAGCTAAGGGCAGCAGTTTCTTTCCCTAAAGGACATTATTGTCTGAAGTTCCATTATTTGGATGAAGTACCCTTTAAATTAGTCTGACAGTTATACACCTCATGGCATCAAACCGAAGTGATAGTTGCCTCGCAGAAATGCTGCAAAATTTAATTCTAGAGAACCTTGTCTATTATCGGATTTAAGTTTGATTCTTGACACTGATCTTGATGTCACTAAAGTGGGCAATGAGTCCATGGGTGATGAAGTACTGAACTACCTACTGTCTTGCGTTTACACTTCAGTCAGGATAATGGTCACAAACCTTTGGTCTTCAACTGGCTTTCAAGTAATTTTAATCTAGACTGAATGTCAACAGCTGAGTAATTTTACATTTTTAGTAGTAATGTGATCAATTTTTAAATGGTGAGTCCCTTGTTATTTCAAGACTGTGTGTGAGGAAAAAGTGAATACAGTGAGGGGGAGGGAAGAGAGATAATCACTAGACAAATGTAGTGATTAGAATGAGGGCCAGGTTGATCTCATTGACTGAAATTCTTGATTGTTATTAACTTGGGCCAGTCAGGGAGCTCTGGTTGACAGATATATACAGGAGATTTGGAGAGTCTCCTCCATTCTAGGGCCTGGCTCTGAGCTGAGGAATTTGAATTCAATTTATGAAGTCTGGAATTGAAAACTAGTCTGTCTGGTGGTGATCACAAACCTAGTGCCAATTGTTTCAAAACCCATCTGATTCATTAATGTCATTTTTAGTGAAGGAAACTTAACTGGTCCTTAACTGGTCTGGCCTAAATGTGGCTCTAAACCCACAGTCATGTGGTTGATTTTTAACTGTCTGCTGATTTGGCCTAGCAAGATACTCTGTCCAATGTCAATTAGGTATCAACAACAAGTGCTGGCCTTGCTGGTGATGCTGACATCTCATGAAAAGAATAAATAAAACATTTTCTGTTATGAGTGACCAGTGGTTTTTTTTCCCCCCTGTATCATTAGAACACCATGAACTCTACATGGTCAGTGGAAATATGTCCCCCTCAGTGCAACCATTTTTATAGCTTCTGAGATCATCTATTTTGTTACACTGTGTGGTTTTGGCAGGTGGTAAACTTGCAGTGATATTAGGGAGAAAACAAGCCAATGTGGTTAGTTTTAGATAGCTTTTGCTAAGAGCCAGTGCAAATGAGATGTCGTGTGACAGGAACCTGGCTTGTAAGTATATGTAGCTATATGCTAATGCGATTATTTTTTTTTTTTTAAAAAACTGAGAATCAGGACATTTCATCATTGTATGAATGATTCCAACTCATGTTCCTGCTGTTCTTATTAGGAAAAGTCCAGTGTACCAACTCATTTAGGTTTGATTCTACACAACTGTGACCTTCTGTAATCCAATTCAGTACCCATACGTGCTCTGCAAAATAAAAACAAAATGGTTGTAGTAAATGTTGTATCCTAAATAGGTTTCATTTTACATCATGTTATTCACTTCCTGCAAGGGCAAGCACGTTTCTGTCAATACCGTGATGTTACTCGAGAATTGGTCGCTGGGAACTGAGATTTAGGTGTTTTGTGGCCTGGTTGCCAACTGTAAATAAAATAAAGCAATTGCCTCTTTTCACCATTGTGCATCCTTCTGTTGCTGCTTCGTTTATTTATGAATCATAGAATCCCTACAGTGTGGAAACAGGCCATTTGGCCCAACAAGCCCACACAGTCCCTCCAAAGAGCATCCCACCCTGACTCATTCGCCTACCCCTGCATTTCCCCAAGTCTAACCCACCTAACCTAAACATGCCTGGACGCTATGGGCAATTTAGCATGGCCAGTCCACCTACCCTGCACATCTTTGGACTGTGGGAGGAAATCCACACAGACGCGGGGAGAATGTGCAAACGCTACACAGACAGTCGCCTGAGGTGGAATTGAACCCAGGTCCCTGAGGCTGTGAGGCAGCTGTGCTAACCACTGAGCCACTGTGCCACCCTTTACTTTAAATGGAGAAGGTACATGAGGGTTGATTTTTCTGCTACCCAGTCAAGAATGTGCGGACCATGTCGCTTACTCTGACGTTTCATTCCCTTCACTAAACATTTTGGGATGCTCAGTGTCCTCGTTGGCTCTGATGATGAGAGCTCAACGTAAAGCTGCCTGCACACAGTTTAAAAGGATGATGACTAAGTTTCAAGGCGTGCAGTTTCTTAAAGGAAAGTGGTCATGTTTGAGGATAACACTGTTGACAGCAATTGCAAAGGCTCTTAACATTTTTAATGAGCATCAACCTGCTCGAAATTTATTTACGTTGGGGATGGGAAGGGCAGAAATTACTTGGTGGAACTTGATGGTTAACACAAAGTGCGGAGGCAGTACCCATGTGATGCAACGGCCTGTCCTTTCAAGCCCAGATTTGCAGTAGCACAGAATGAAACAAGAGTGAAATGGGGAAGCCCTGCTTTTTGATATTAAACCTAAATCTCTACTGGGCAGAGCATTCAGCAGGGCTGGAAAGGATCAAAAAGGACTTGAAGGATGCAACTATCTACTCTCTGGCAGTCAACTCTAAAGTACATAATCAACAAATGATGCAACTCTGCATTTGGGTAACTGCTGATTGTGAGCCCAAGACTTCCGTTCCCAATGGTTGACTGCTACCAGTGTGTCATTGCTTGTAAATCATTAAATCCCTACTGTGTGGAAGCAGGCCATTTGGCCCATCGAGTGTACACTGACCCTCTGAACAGCATCCCACCTAAACCAAACCCTCTACCCTATAACCCTGCATTTTCTCATAGCTAATCCACCTAGCCTGCACAAACCTAGACACTATGGGCAATTTTAGCATGACCAATCCATCTAATCTACAAGTCTTTGGACTATGGGAGGAAACCAGAGCACCCGGAGGAAACCCACACGAAAGGGCAGAATGTGCAAACTCCACATAAACAGTCACCCAAGGCTTGCATCAAACCCAACTCCCTGGTGCTGAGAGGCAGCAGTTCTAACCACTGTGCTACTTTGCCACCTGGTGTGCATTAGTGTGGTCTGCTAGTCTGCCTCTAGCCTGCCTGATATCCTTCTCTTCTTTCTCCTCTTCCCATTTGGAATTGCCACTGGAAAAATCCATTGACCTAATATTATAGACAGTCCAAGACAATTCAGTGTTTAAACTGTTGACACAAAGGAAAGAAAGCAATAAGCTAAGAGGTGGATTCAGAATTGAATAGAGTGCTTAATGAGTCGAAACTGGGTGATGTGTAAAATCAGCACGTACGTTGAGTAAGATGACCTCAAATTAAAGCTACCAGGTTTCCAAAACAAGCAGTCGCTTTCTGAAAATTTAGCATTTGAGTGATAATTGAGCAAAGCCAAGGGGAGCTTTTTGTTCGGGTTTATGTGGCTTCTTGGAGAAGCTTAT